GCGACCTCTATACGCGATGCAAAATACCAATCGCACGCCACATGAACTTACTCCACAATCATGTAAAAGCAGATGCCACTGCCATCTCTTAGACACACAGAAACCTTCTCAGCCAGACGCATGCACTCAGGCGTCACTGGACACAGTCAACACTTACACTGGCTCCACCAGCCGCAACTGCCACCTGAGACAGCAAATCAAGGTTCTGTGCATAACAAATTCCTTCCACAGATGCCCTCAGCCTTTTACAAACATTCCAGGAATTGAGCTGATGATCGTAGCGCTCCGAGTACAAGCCCCCCCCATGACGCTTCACGCTTTCCTATTCTCTAGGTCCTGCAATGAGTCTTGAGGGAGGTTTCGAAGTTCTAGATAGCCACTTAGAAATCCCTATATCGGATGCACATGTGTCTATTAGTCGCAGGGGATGTCTGTTTGGAATCTCTCACAGGAAGGAACTGATGGTAAGGGTGGGTTATGTTAAACCATTGGGTTTTATATACATAATCACCTACTATAATTATGTTACAGCTAAAGTGAGCAATCCTCCAAACGATACGTGCTGTCTGTGATAAATTATTTACAATGATGTCTTTTCAAGGCCTACCATACATAGCGAGTAAGTTGCATTGCGACAGGGCCTTCTTGCTTATGCGGAGGAATGTTCAGAGTGATGATTACTTGTCAAAAAGGGTAGCGTGCTTATGGATAAGGGGCTATTGCCTGCCTTATTATGCTTACTGGTGATGTTTATTGTTTATGATTTCGAAGCAGAGTTATCCAATGCGATTCCATAACCGTTGCCATGACGTTCTATAATTTCATGATTAAATCAAATGATTGTGAGTTACTTAATTATTGACTAATTACATCGTAAAATTATTATTTATTGATAGCATTGTCTATTGGTTATAGTTCTTATTCTACCTCTAGCTTTTCATACTACTTGCAATCATCTACCCATCAGTAACGCCCCTATTTTACACGAACCAATGGCTACTGGTTGTGTAGTGGGACTACACAACATACCGTTGCCATCCTGGAATTCTAACAAAATCCTTGAAACAGGATGAATTCACGATTGCCAAGATGTACAGAATTCTGCGATGATACCCATGTAAGCACTTAGGCATTCACGTAGGGCGAACGAACGATTTAGAATAATCCATCATCGGGCGAATGCAATAATATAAGGTAGGGTGGACTTGAGGAAAGTTTAAGCAAGCCCATTACCCTCCTACCCTCCCTATCTGGTCCCAAATTATGACTAGAATCTGACCCCTTTGATCCCTTAACACTTCTCCCCATTCTCTCTCTAATAACTACTCACTGGTTGCTTAAAATTTCGTCAACTCTACCCTCCCTTATATTATTGTATTCGTCTGATGATGAATTAATCGAAAACTTTCGTTTGCCTAACTTGACTTTCTGAATATAGAGAATTCCTAAGCTTTACCACCACTGCAACTGGACAAAGGAGAAACATCGATCAAACGGCCTGGAACAGAACGCCAAACTGGTCAAACGTCAAATCCCTGCATATCGCAAAATATGTGGCGGTTCAAATGATCGTATCGGGTCTTATTCGCGAAGTTCACTAAATATTACCAGCTTATTCCGACAAAGATTATGAAACACTACACGTCCTCAATAATTTATTAAATGGGCAGAGCTGGCAAGTAGTTTGAATGTCTGCATTCGTGAATTAACCAAACAGGAGGTCACATAAGTTAGAGGGGTTCTCAGAGGTTCTGAAGGGAGTGAAGGGCAGCTAGTCGCGTAAAGGCGAATTATGAATACGAAAGAATCTGTCACATCCTCTCTCTCTCTCTCACTGGACAATATATTTTTTCAAGCCAAGCGAACAGCACCCACCTGCATGTTTGCCGAACATCTTTTCATCTTGTTTCTTTGCGGCCCTAAGGTTAATGTTAGAGAAAGGCTATTAAAATCTGACTTGAATGACTTGCTGCAAAAGGCGAACGTTCAAGAGAGCTCAGTAGAGGCCTTATGTAAGTGGCTCGTGGTCATGACGTTGCACCCACCAAACCAAAACTAGCTCAGCCTTCAAGCCCATGACAAAATGCAAAACTATTTGCAGTCATAGTGGTGCAGAATCTTAAACGTTTAGAAGCGAAATTGTAAGTGCTACGAAAACACGCTCCAACATGTTCTGCTGTGTAAACGCTGGTCTACGTAGGAGAGGCGGGTGAAAGGGCATACTAACCTCAGCTTTCGGTGCCATCCGCCGGTAGCTTTTGACGCAAAGTTGAAGCTCATCGTTCACGCTCATCAAATTGGCCAGGGCCGCCTCATCGTCTCCAGTGATATCGGCAGAACATTTACCTAGTTCTGCATTGATGAGGGACTGCACTTTCCTCTGCAGGGCCTCCAGTCGTTCAGCAACGACCTGGGTGGAGAAAGCAACCAGGATAATGGCCTGTGTGTTCTTCCACCAACAAACATTTGCATCCATGCATCCAGTGCAGTTAAAGCTTTGGCGCCTCCCTCTCGCATAACCTGGCCAACACTTATCGCTTACCTGGAAGTCC